CCATCGGAGAATGCCGGCTAATAAATGTGGAAGTAGTGATAGAATCAGGCAATCATTAACCTTCTACCCCCAGAGCATCACCCCATAGATTACTCATTACTAAGAAAGAAAGAAAGAGTTTTACAGAAGAGATAGACAATGGTGACCAACTTAATCAAGTGACTAACCATCATTGCCACTCATGGGACAACCTGACATATGTCTCTAGCCGTACTACAATAAGAAGTATATAAAACATTACCTGTGTACTATAACTGCCAAAATGTTTCCTCTCATATAATGACAAGTAAACACTAAGACAAATCCAAAAGGTGAGTTATTCTACAACAAAACTAGCTTGGACCCTCCGAAAAGTCAGTGTCATGGAAACAAAGAACAAAGGGCAGAGAAGATGGTTGGATCATTGCTTCTCAGGCTTGAATGTGCATAGATCCCTGGGGACCTTGTTAAAACGAAAATTTCAATCCAGTAGGTCTAGAATGGGGCCTGGGATTCTGCATTTCTAATCAGCTTCCAGGACCATCCTTGAAATAGCAACATTCTAGATTAATAGGAATAACCAAATGCAGTGTGCAACCTGAGAGTGGATTCTGGATCTCCAAACCAAACAGGGCACAGTGCCTGTAGAAGATGTCTTTGGACAAGTGGGGAAATTAAAGTATGGGCTGCATATCATTATTAGGTGATATTACTGAATTAACATTAACTCTCTCGGCTATGAGAATGTCTTTGCAGTAAGTAGGAGAAGGGCTGAAATCCATGTAGGCAAAAGGTCACACTGTTTGCAACTTTGTATATAGGTTATATGAGTATTTACTATTCTAGTTTACTGAAGGTTGAACATTTTCAAAATAAAACTCTGGGCATAAGACATGATCCTTCTAACCTTGAAGGAGACTCAGCTTGTGTTCCAGCTCTTCTGTAAACCCCACCCTCACTGCAAAGATGTTCCTAAGCAGAAACTGTCTCCCTTTCCTGTGGTCTATGGCATTCTGTGCCATTCTGCCCCAAGCTAGAGAATTCCCAGAAAACAGAAGTCCTGCCCTGTCCACTCGGTCCTCCCATCACGGCCCATTGGATCAAGCATAGGGCTTGACCCTGAGAAGAGAGTAACTTGGGTAGAGGGAAGCATCACAGGGTGTTTCAACACACCTCTTTATTTTATTTAAACTTAGAAGTAAACTAGAAAAACCAGACCACCGCCCCACTCACTACCCTTAAACAGGCACTGCTCCACTCTTGGCAAGGATACACTGTTTTAAAAAGGAATTTTCTTTGCTTATAAAGAGAAGGGAGGCAGCTGCTTTCTTTTCTTTCTACAAAGGGCCTCCTTTCAAACCTAGTGATCCTGAGCCTCTTGCTTTGCTCTAACCTTGTTGAATGTAAATGGATCTCTCAAGGGGCTGGATAAGCCCAGCCTCAGGTTTGCAACAGAGATGGTCCTTTCTAGAGTCAGCCTGGCATGCAGCCTGCCTCCTTCTCTAACTAACCCTTTGTCTCTGGAGGAGACAAGAGAAATTTTACTGTTTTTGCTTTGCTGTATAAACTGTGTGGAATTTCATCCTGACATACCTGTGTGTACTATGTTGTGCTCACTCAATAATAAATTACCTTTCTTTGTCTTGAGGGGAAGAGATGTCTCTTTGTTGGTAGTACTATTACTTCCTCAAGAGTATCCTGGTACAATCTCTTTGGAAGCTGATTGACAATATTTACTGAAGTGAGAAATACACATTCTAGTCCCACAGCTAGGAATTTATCCCACAGATATACTTGTAGACATGCACAGCTAGCACAGTTCTAGACACAGACGAATTATAATGCAGTTATTCAATACAATACGTGGATTTCCATGTATTGGCATGGATGACTCCTCAAGATATACTGCCAGTCAATAAATTAAGATGCAAATTTATGAGTTTACTATAATTATATGTGTGTACTATATATTTGTAGATACACAGATTTCGGGAAGGACAAGGAAGTATCTGTTAATGGTGGTTATCTCAGGAAAGGGGGATTGGTAGTTGGGTGGGAAGGGTGTAAGAGACTGTTACTTTTTTCTCCCTTTTTCCTTGTTTCCTGTTTATTTCTCTCAAGTAATTTAAATATAATATTTTATAATAAGTATACTGGTTTAAATGTAAATAAAACAAAGTACAACCACACAGACACAGAGGTATTATTCGACTACTGTTCCATAAGCAACATGAAAGCAGGACTTCTGTTGGCTTCTTCAAGGCTGTATATATCCCCATTTCTCAGAACAGTGTCTGCACACAGTAGATGCTCAATAAAAATTTGTGATTGAAACCCAAGTGCCTTCTTTGTCTCACCCAAGGAGTTTGACCTTGGAGTTATTTGATCTTCAGGACAAACCTCAAGGCAATCTTTGTTGATTTTCCTACATGACTTACATCTTCTCTTCTCCATCCCTTTGCTCATGTTGTTCTATTGACCAGGAGGGCCCTCTTTTTTGATCCCCCTTCTTCACCTGTTTGATGTTATACACATCTCTCAAGCCAACCCAAATCTTCAATCTCCAGTGGAGTTTTTGTTAAACTTTCCTGTTCTGTCTCCTTAACTTGGGGTCTTATGGTAGCCCTAGGTGCCTCCTTTCCATCACTTAAAATAGATTATGACTTACTTTAATTTTGTCTGTACATGTGCCTTTTTATGTACAACTGTCACTTCTTATGCCAGTAAAACCTTTCTCATGGTTCTCTACCCCTGCCCCCATCCATCCTCACAGAGTGCTATGTGGCCATGAACCTATTTCGTTTTCAATAATTGGGATGTGAGTTTAAGTTCCTTGGGTATCTCTCACTGATTTTTTTTAAAGCAGAAGTCCTGTTAGAGTCTCTTTATTTGTCTAAGTTACACCTACCCTAAAGTCTGCCTGAATTCTCTCTTCCTAAAGAAGCCTTCCCTGAATGCTTGAGCTCATGGAAATAACCCTTCTCATCTCTTATAACAGTTAATATCTAAACAACTTATTAGAAACAATAATGTGTAAAACACTTAATACTTAGCACTGCTTTTAAGTGAGTAACTGATACTTCTCAGGCTAAGAAATCATAGCATACCAAACCACACAGTCAGATTGTGAAATGAATCTTTTCACATCCAAACATGAGGGCTAAGTCAAAGAAATGGATGCACAAAATAATAAAGCTCCTCAGAGAAGACTGAGAACAAAGTTTCTTAGTGCTTCTATTGCTGTCTGTATTGGAAAAGGGAATGTTTTCTCATTAAACAAGCAAGCAGCTGACTCTACCACTTTCTCAAGATGACTTAGTTCAAGCTCTGTCCCCTTTCTGTTCCTCATTTTACATGTTTACAAAAATGAGGCAGAAAGATCCATGCCAGTTCCTTTATGAAAAGAATCAATTCAACTAAAACTGGGATTTAATAAGAACCATTCTGGAGTTCTCTGGCTTTATATGTCACCATCACCATCCCACTGCTCTCTTCTCTTCTCTTCTCTTCTCTTCTCTTCTCTTCTCTTCTCTTCTCTTCTCTTCTCTTCTCTTCTCTTCTCTTCTCTTCTCTTCTTTCTCTCTCTCTCCCTCTCTTGTTCTAGATGCAAACTTTAAATACCTTAAAGGCCACTTCAATTTCTTTTCTTTGGCCATTGCTATAAAGTGATACACCTGTGGTTTACATCAAATTAGAACTACAGAAAATTATGCAGCCTCTACCAAAAAGAGAGTGCCCTAGAATGTTTTCAGAGTACTAGTTTTAGTAGATGTAGATAAGGCCATTAAATGATGAGTTTCATAAACTCTACCAACGAAATCAAATAGAGCAATTCTGTTTTCTTTCACTTTTATGGAGATATGAGACTCACAGCATCATTTAAATTTCAAAGCTTGAGAACACTTGAGAAAAGATACCAAAGCCTTTTAAAGCCCGATTCTTTTTAGTAATCCACGAGTTACAGAGCCTTCAGCCTAAGGGAGTGGGAGGGAAACCAGGGCCCATTCTGCAGGGCTGTAATGTCACCACAAGTGGGAACTATGAAGGAACAAACAGAAATATTCTCACTCTGGCAGGGTGGGGAGAGGGTACAGTTTTTAAGCTATCAAAATTAACAAAACCTTTACTCCAAAATTCAACAACATGTACATCCAGATACTGCTCTTTATAACACCTACGGGTGTATTCTCTGTAAACACCAATTTCTTAAAATATGAGAAGGCTTCTTCCTTCATCGCTTCTATTTTTGCACCAAAGCTCACACTTTACTTCAAACAAAGCCTCCTGAGAGGTGTGACTCTACCATGCGCACCTGTCATGGCTTGTAGCTTTAGCATTCTGAGCAGTCTCGGAGGGAACAGGCGTTAAAAACATTTCTATGATCCATCTCTGGGCTCTGTTTCTTGTGACCGTGAGCTCTTCAAAGCACTGACTTGTGAGGGAGCTTTCAATTTGTCTTCTGGGTTTTAATGCTGAAATGCTCAAAGCTCTAAGCGGCCCTGGTCTTCCCTTTTGCCCCCTTCCCTTTCAGACCTTGGCCTTGGACACTTAGCTTCTTGTTAAAAAAAAAAAGCCCTTGGCAATGGACGAGGTCACAGGAATCTCAGGAATATTTGATCTGAGAATATAGACCCTGGGAATCTGGTCTGAAGACTTTGAAAACGTGAGAAGAAGTTATGCAAATAATGTTACCCGGTTTCCTTATTGCCTCCTTCCTTGCTCAGAGTCCCTGGCTCTACATGATTTAACCCTTCATTTCTTAGAGCTGAGAGCTCTCCTCCCTCTCTTGGCTCAGGGAGTCTGGAAAGTTTTGAGATGATAGCTCAAAAAACCTTTCTTTCCAAAAGCCAAAATATTTCAGAGAGTTAAGTTCCCGTTTCTCTACTCCCTTTCTCCACATGATCTATGCACTTTTTATTTTTAAACCTCGCCGCTAATTTATTAGCTCATTCCCAAGGCTCTCTCTGGGGAAAACTGAACGTAAATCAGAAAGGAAAGGCGAGGAGGAGAAGTCCACTTACCGACTTCTGAACCACCAGCACCATGATGGTCGCCACAGCAAAGACGAGACACACAGCCAGTGTGGCCGTGGTGAAGCAGAAGTAACTGCGGCTCGTGGTCCCCCAGTGTCTGGCGACGGAGCCTGCTGGCTCGTGCATGGCTGTGTCTTGAGAAGGGGCCACTCGGTGGAGTGCTCGCTGCAGCCCGGGGCCCATTCTTATATAGTCTTCCCCACATCACACCTTATCGCTCCTCATCTGCTCTGGTTCTGGGCCCATCTCGGTTCCAAGAAGGATTCTCCCCTGCATCCTGGATCATGTGACTTGGAAAAAAACCTTCACCAGCTGCCTCACAAAGAAACTCTTCTCTGGGGGCGTGAGGCGCAAGGCAGCAGCACGAGTGGGGGAGAGGCTCATTTTTCATTGCCAGGGATTAGGTTGAGTGCAGACACACTGCAGCGACTCAGGAGGTGGCTGATGTCAGAGGGCGAGTAGGAAAATGACGGTTTCCCTATTCTGGTGTGTGTGTGTGTGTGTGTGTGTGTGTGTGTGTGTGTGTGTGTGTGTGTGTGTGTATGTGTGCGCGCGCATAGTCACTTCTGTTTCGAGAAGCTGCACACACTCTTCAGGGAGGCCTGCGGGTCAGAAGACCTGTCAGAAATGCCTCTCTCGGGGCCTTGCCGGGGGTGGGGGGGGGGCTGGATTCCTTGGGTTCAGCTGGACAATATCCCTCCTGCTGAAAACTGGAGATGCTACTGGATATCCAGGAAGGAAGAGTCCATTGATCCAAAGAAAGACAAACTTGTGGCAGTATGAAATGTGGGGCAGGTGCAAAGGGACTGTGAGCAGGAAATCTGAAAACACTGATCTTTGGAATAAAACTTTCTGCCGAGTGTATTGGGATCTGTTGAAGTTGCAGACAAACTTGGGCTTGTCATAAAACGCACAAAAAGAGGAAGGGATGGGCCGTGAAGGAGAGGGTGAGGAAGTGGTCTTGTGCCAAATGTGGGGGTATGTGCCTGTGCTGCATGCGAGTGTGGTGCATGTTGTGTGCATATGTATGTGTTGTGTACTGTGTGTGGTATGTGTGTATGTGACTATTACACTTGAATTTTTATTGTCTGAGGCACAGTGCTAGGAGCTTTATGCATGGCCTCACTCCACCCTCACCTCCACAGTCTGAGGCAGGTGATACTTCTTTTTTCCAGATGGGAAAATTGAGAGTCAGAGAGAATGAAAACTGTTTCAAGCAAAGTTGCTAATGTTGATCAATGAGCTAAGGGGTGCATAGCCATACCTGGCTAGCCCCCAAGCCCATGCTAAACCATTCAACCATCTCTGCACTTGAAGGCTGGAAGCCTGAGGTTGGGCCTCAGCCATGCTCGTTACTGGCCTTGGGTCCTTGTACAGATCCTTATGGCCCTCCCTTTGACAGCCACTGTGAAGATGAAATGGGATGGTGGTGTAACAGCGCTTTGTGAGTGGGAATAGACTTGGCCGTGGTGTGGTACCATTCCGGTTAAGCATCTGAAGTGGTCCCCTGGGCCCGGTCTGGAATTTAGATGGGTTCAGTGAGTAGATTCTCTGGGGGACAGAGCTGCTTACTAATGCTCTCCATGTCAAAACACCATTGAAAATGTGAGCCACTGCTGAGCCCGTGCCTCTGGATACAGCTCTTTGAAAACTTCCTCTGGAAGTACCCAGTTCTTTGCAGCACCCCTCCCCTTTCTGCTCTCTGTTTGGCTGCAGTGTGTCTCCGAGCGCCAGCAGAAACCCCAGATCCGCCCAAGGAAATGTGGCCCGAGCCAAGCTTGGATTATTACCACTGCGGCCTCTGTGGGGATCCCAGGCTGCTGAGCATCACCCAGTTAGTCAGACTCTAGGACGGGGGTGGGCAACCTTTTTGTGAGTGCGTGCCAAAACCAGCAAAATCTCTGACTCAAAATTCTTCTGCGTACCAACCCTAATTTTTTGAGAACATGTTACGCCTACTTGATATCTCTTAAGGTGTACGTATGTGAAGAACCTTGAAGAAATAATAAAATTCATTCGAGCGACAAAAACACAGTATATGATGATGAAAAAATACATTTATTTTTTATTTTTTTTAATTAAATCTTTATTGTTCAGATTATTGCAGGTGTTCCTCTTTTTTCCCCCCATAGCTCTCCTCCACCCAGTTCCCACCCCACCCTCTGCCCTTACCCCTCCCACTGTCCTCATCCATAGGTGTACGATTTTTGTCCAGTCTCTTCCTGCACCCCCACACCCCTTTCCCCGCCAAGAATTGTCAGTCCACTCCCTTTCCATGCCCCAGGTTCTATTATATTCACCAGTTTACTCTGTTCATCAGATTTTTTATTCACTTGATTTTTAGATTCACTTGTTGGTAGATATGTATTTGCTGTTCATAATTTTTATCTTTACCTTTTTCTTCTTCCTCTTCTTAAAGAATACCTTTCAGCATTTCATATAATGCTGGTTTGGTGGTGATGAACTCCTTTAGCTTTTTCTTATCTGTGAAGCTCTTTATCTGACCTTCAATTCTGAATGATAGCTTTGCTGGATAAAATAATCTTGGTTGTAGGTTCTTGCTATTCATCACTTTGAATATTTCTTGCCACTCTCTTCTGGCCTGCATAGTTTCTGTTGAGAAATCAGCTGACAGTCGTATGGGTACTCCCTTGTAGGTAACTGAGTTTTTTTCTCTTGCTGCTTTTAAGATTCTCTCTTTGTCTTTTGCTCTTGGCATTTTAATTATGATGTGTCTTGGTGTGGTCCTCTTTGGATTCCTTTTGTTTGGGGTTCTCTGCGCTTCCTGGACTTGTAAGTCTATTTCTTTCACCAGGTAGGGGAAGTTTTCTGTCATTATTTCTTCAAATAGGTTTTCAATATCTTGCCCTCTCTCTACTTCTGGCACCCCTATAATTCTGATGTTGGTATGCTTGAAGTTGTCCCAGAGTATCCTTACACTATCTTCATATTTTTGGATTCTTTTTTCTTTTTGCTTTTCTGTTTGGGTGTTTTTTACTTCTTCGTACTTCAAATCTTTGACTTGATTCTTGGGATCCTCTTGTCTGCTGTTGGATCTCTGTATATTATTCTTTATTTCAGTCAGTGTATGCTTAATTTCTAGTTGGTCTTTTTTCATATCCTCCAGGGTCTCACTAAATTTATCGGCAGTTTCCAGAAAATTCTTGAAAAACCTTATAACCGTGGTTTTGAACTCTATATCCAGTCGTTTGCTTTCCTCCATTTCTGTCATTTGTGACCTGTTTCTTTGTCTCCGCATTTTTAATGCTTCCCTGTGTTGGTAGAGTGGCTTTGTGTGCTAGGTTTCCTATAGGGCCCAGTGGCTCAGCCTCCCCAGTTACCTGAGGTGGACACTCTTGGTACACCCCCTTGTGGGCTTTGTGCACAGTCTTGTAATTAAGCCTTGATTGTTGTAGGTATCACTGGGATGAATTGACCTCCAGGCCAATTGGCAGTGAGAATCAGCTGTGTCTGCAGTGGGAGAACTTCTGTGCTGGAGACACCCTTCTGGGGCAAGACTTGCTTCAGTAGGGCTTTGGTGCTTACTGAATCTGCCCACTGAGTGTGTTCCTTATGGATCTGAGGAGTTGTAATCTGGATGGTCCCACTCTCACCACTGGGTACACTGACTCTTGGATCTAAGGAGGTGCCAATTTAGCCTCTGCCTGAGGCTACCCAGCAGGAGCTACGAAGAGATCTGCAGATTCCCCTTCATTTTTTGGGGGTTTGGAGGTGCTCAGATGAGGCCCAGCTGTGAAGCAGTGCAAGCTGCTGTGGGGCCTTGGGCCTTCTCTTGGAAGTTCTGGGTCTGTCTGGTCCAGCTGCAATTTGTTAGGTAATTTTCAGATTGCAAAGGGCCAGGGCATTCATATGCAAAAGCCTCTGCTGCAGCCTGGGTGGGGCGGGATCTCAGGGAATCAACAGGGCAGAGCAAGCAGCTATGGCTTATCCTCAGCCCTGCCCTAAGGGGCCCAGCATCTCAGTGTCCCGGTAATTGCAGCAAGCACCTCTGAGGGAAAGCCGCCCTCAAGTTCCGAGTTCTGCCTGCTGCCAGACAGTCCAGTTTCTCCCCGTATGAGTCCTGGGTCCCCAGAGACTTCCCAGAACTGGAGTTCAGAGCAGTCGGGAGCTTGCAATTCCCTCTTGATTCAAAAAGACAGCCGCGTCCTCAGGTGCCAGCCCCTTTCCGTGCACGCTCAAGCCTCCGTACCTCTGCACTTTACTTCCGCAGCTCCTCTGAGTCTCAGTGTGCTTTTCTCTTTCCTTCTAGTTGTAGAATTTCCACTCAGCCAGCCTTCCTGTAGTTCTGGATGATGTTCGTTTTGTCTTTTCGTTGTATTTTTGAAGTTGTTGTCGGAGGCAGCAATTTCCAGTGTTTACCTATGCCGCCATCTTGGTTTCTCCCCATTTATTTTTTAATGTATACATGTACACTAATAGTCCGACAGAAAACTTTATGACTCCGTTTGATATTATCTGTGGGACTTTTGCTGCTGCATCACTGATGACAGAGATTTTACATCAGGTCTATATTTTGTGACCTTCAGAGATATGCACGAGCTACTATCATCCGTCAGGCTACTCCTATTACGAGACTTAACAAAATTCATCACTGAGAACAAAGATTCACAAGCGTATGAGGATGAAAACATGGAGAGTAACGCTGTTGCAAAGTTTTTTAAACAGAAAAAATTTTCTGGAATGGCATTCCAAGTCCTCAATAGGACTTTTCGTTTTTGACACTTCCCTCTGGTACTCCTGTCTCTAATCGCTTTTTTTTCAATGTTTTCCAAGTCAACTCTAAGGTCAATAAATTTCTGCTTCCAAATTGAGCTACTCTGAAATTCAGTCAACTGCATTTCAAAGTCAGCCATGTCTAACCATGAAAACATTTGTAAGTTTAGTTCCTCTAGTTTCATGCTGTCTGGAAACCTCATGAATTTTGCTGTCTCTTTCAGTTCTCTGAATTTCGCAAATCTTGAGAAGAACTGCTCAATAATTGACTCGATGATTTTTAAAAACAGCTTTTGAAGGCTTTGACAGTCTGTTTTGTCATCTTTTGGGAGGTCTTTGATGTGCCTCTTGAGGTTTGGGAAATATCTAAATCTCTCACCATCCACATCCCTCTTAAAGACTTCCAGTTTCTTTTCAAAAGCCTTTATGTAACCAAATACAACATCAAGTGTCTTGCCAGTTCCTTATAATTTAACATTTAAGTCATTCAAATGTTCACAAAAATTGTAAATGGAAGATTATAAGAGAGGGTTTCACGTGCCAGCGAAAGTTACTGGCATGCCATGTTTGGCACACGTGCCAGGGGTTGCCCACCCTGCTCTAGGAACTGGCCTGGTTGTTCCTTCCCAGTGAATCTATAACAGCATAGATCAGGGGTCCTCAAACTTTTTAAACAGGGGGCCAGTTCACTGTCCTTCAGACCGTTGGAGGGCCGGACTATAGTTTTAAAAAAACTATGAA